AACTTTCCCAGCAATTGCTGCATAGGTTTTAATGTGACAGGAAAATCTTAATAAGTCTGAATCATTGCTCAGAACTTCACGAAAGCAATGAAGGATTACCTTCTTTTATAAGGATAAATAACTACGATCAGTAATTTCCATAAGAATTTGACAGAAATATATGCTTGTCCAAAATATGAAATAAAATGGTAAATATGCTTGTCCAAAACATGGAATAAAAATAGCAAATGTGTTTATTTTTCTATGTCTGTCATATTAAAGGCAATTTTAATTATATAAGTTTTAAATTCAGTCCAACTGCAGACTTCATCAAGTAGACCATAAATACTAAATTCCAATTTATTAACTACACACAATGTTTTATATACATCAGAATTGAAGTTTAAAAGGATGGAATTCCTAAAAATAGCCCAAGAAATCCTTCAAAATGATATTTTTGCTGCTGTTAACAATATACCTTTTATATTTAAGGAGCTGCTGAATTCCGTCCCTTCTTCAGAAAGATCTTTAATACTATAATGTGTTAAAATACCTACATTCCTGAATTATATTGTATTTCTCTCCCATTTTACATTAATTTAACATCAACTCAACATCAGCATAGCACTTATTAAAATGTAACTGTAATATTGATTTTAATAATGAAAATGTACAGTGTGCATTAAATGAAAACTGTAAAGGAAGAAAGAGACATGTGGATATGATTTTTTTATAATCTGTTTGTCAAAACTTCTGAGCAGTCTAAATTTCAGGTTTTCTTTTTTCTTCAATAGAAAATCACATTTACTTTTAAAGTAGATGACAGACTCAAAATAATAAAAATAAATTATATTAATATATTAATACAAACCTCAGTTCCTGGTAAATTATGTTGTGAAAAAAATGGATCTATTGAAGACAGCCAAAGCCAATACTTATCAAAGCTTAAACTCAGCTATGATCCATTTCCTGCCACCTGTATTCCACTGTGTACTGAATGAATTTAATTTGCTCTTTCTCCTCATGGTCACATGAGATTGCTGGATCATTTTAAATGACTTTCTGTTAAACAGAATGTACCAATCCAATTTACTGTTTTTTTTCATAAAAGAAAGCCTAATTAATATTAAAAATAAAAATAATATTGGGTGTGGTCTAAATGTTAAATCAACATAAAAATAGATTTTTTTTCATTTGAATAGGAAAAAAATAACATCCTGACAACAAGACAGAGAATGTTGTTTGCTAGACTAAAAGAGAGGGATTTTTTTTCAAATGTAGAATAAGACCCAATATTTTTTTCTTTTTCTTTTTTCTTACTATTCCAAAATAGCCAATAGGGAACATAGAACTAAGACACTATTGGTATATTATATAGATATTCCTGGAGATAATAAACCTTTTTATAACATGATTAAAAGTTATCTGAATCAAAAATGATATAAAAAAAGGAATCAGCACTTTAGAGTGATAACACCTTCCTTTCTTCCTCCCTTCTTTTCTTTTCCCTTCCCTTCTTTTCCCTTCTTTTCCTTCCAGGATTAATGTAACTATTTTAGGTTAAGAAAAGAAATTGCTGAGGTAGATTATTATTGGCTTCTTGGTTTATTTAGAATAATTGTTGTAAGTTCTTGGAAACTGATAGTGCTGAAGAAGAGGAACTTTGGTTGCAGAAAAAAACGACTGAAAGATGAAGAAAAGAAGAAACCGAAGAAAAGAATGTGAATCTGGCAAGAGTTATGCCATGTTGTGCTGGACAAGATTGGAAAAAGGTAGGCACAGTCTGCAGAATGATGTTGGGCCAGTGTGTGCAGTAAGGGATTAAGCCAACCAGTGGCTGTAATGGCTGTAACAGGATGTACTCGTCTGTGGATACCATCATTTGGAATCTGGTCAAAGAGCAGTACAGTATGACTCAAATGTAAATAATGGCACAGAGACATATCAGTGATATTCAATTAGAAGGCAATAATTGAAGAAAAAAAAGCATTACAGGAGCTGAAATAGACTAATAAACATAACAAGACAAAAAGATCAGATATTCTGTGCCCCGGAACAGACTGCATTTGTACTGGTGCAGCTGGAACATGAGAAAGATTGCTGGAAAGAACTAGTTCTACAGCTTAACAAACAATGTATTTGTGTCAGTTCATATCTACATAAACAGAACTAATTTTATAACAAATGAATATTTGGAGAACGTCCACAGGAAAGTCAACAGCACCAAAAGAGAGGATGCGACTGGGCAATCAATGCCCTGCCCTTTTCTGTATGGATACAATGTGTATGAACCCATATTAAAAAGAAGTCGGACTTCAATCTTCCACTTATGTTCACCACTTTATTGCCACTAATCTCCCCATGTAGACATGGTGCTGGTTCTGCTGGTGGCCTTTGCAGAAATGGAAAAGGTCAGTTGAGCAGAGATCCAGAAAGGGCATTTTCTCTCTCTGATGTATTACCTTATCTTATTTCACATAAAAAAGGATTATTAAGAACAACATGTTTGTTGAGGCAGAATCATCAGTCTTTACAGATATAAGTTCTATCTCATATACTGTTTTAACTTATTTGAAAGTGATCAAAAATATCTGGATTGGGACAATATGGGGGATCTTATGTACTTGAAGATTTTTAAAAAATATTTTGGCAAAATCTTTCATCAAGGGCTTTTGAATAAATTTAGTAGCTATGAGATAACAGAAAATAAATATATGGTTTTTAAATGGGAAACAGTATGACTAAATGACCAGTTTTTAATAATCATTTATCAAAAGCAAGTGGGGGCATCCTCCAAAGTACCTTTTTAGCCTGTACTTCAGATTATAAATTACCTGAAGTTAAGGCTAACAAATTGTATGGCCAAGTTTGCAGTTATCATCACATTTACACAAGATTAAAAAAGCTCCAACTATGAACATCAGGCAATAAAATGGAAAATCTGGTTCAATAAAAGTAACTTTATAATGATGCATAGGAACGAAATTTCCAACTCTGCATATACACTTATAATGACTAACCAGGGAAAAAATTCTAGGGCTAGGCCAAGGCAGATAGCCTAAAGGAAGTAGTATAAAAGCTTTACAAAGGGATTAAAAGATGCATATTAATACCAGATTTGGTCATCATATCCATATTTATGATTTATTTCACTAATGTTTATTTCTGGATAGTTTGATGTTGAAATACCGGAAAGGAAAAAAAATTCAACTTTCAATGCTATGACCAATGGAGCAAAAATTCAACTGAATGGCAAAGGAAGCTATATAGAAGTAGTCATTAACTTGAAAGTCTAACAATAAAAGTAATTTGACAATTGGTAAGTGGTTGATTGATAAGCTGTTTGACCATATAGGCCCATGGTGGCGAACCTATGGCACGCGTACCACAGGTGGCACGCAGAGCCTTCTCTATGGGCACGCGCACCATCGCCCCAGTCCTAGGCCTTCAGCTGGTTTTTATAAAACCTTTTTGCTTTAGGCCTCCGCCGCCATGTGCAAAAAAAAAAAAAGGTTCAATCAATCAATTTCAACTTCTTGCATGGGAAAAAAAAAATCTCGCAAAGTTGGAACTGATTGATTGAACTTTTTAGTCCCACCCAGTCTGCCATTACCACCGCAGCCACACCCACCCAATGGGCCACACCCACCCAATGGGCCATGCCCACCCGGCACCCGACCATACATAAGTGGGTTTTGGGTTGCAGTTTGGGCACTCGGTCTCTAAAAGGTTCGCCATCACTGATATAGGCCAAATCAAGTATCAATAAAGTATCTTCAAAAGGTATCAACATACCAAACTACAGAGCAGAATACATTCAGAAAAAGGTATCACCTTTGCATCAATCTGTTCTAAAACAAGCTCTGACAAGAGTTACTAGCTCACCTATCAGAACTTTATAGAAAGCACAAGAGTTCCTGTGACATAGAAAATGTATTTCTGCCAACCAGCTCACGAATACCAATGTGTCACTTAGGAGTTTTCACTTCCCTTTTTCCCAATTTGCAAAGTTAGGAAGAGAAAATGTTAGGTACTGGAAAAAACAAAAATACTATACTATTCATCAGCCCACGCATGAAACCTCAAACGTCCTTGAGTTACTAACTCACAAAGTGTAACTTTTGTCCAACGATTCTTCTTACCCTATGCCAGTGTTTTTCAACCTTGGAAACTTTAAGATGGGTGGACTTCAACTCCCAGAATTCCCCAGCCAGCAAAGCTGGCTGGGGAATTCTGGGAGTTGAAGTCCACCCATCTTAAAGTTTCCAAGGTTGAAAAACACTGCCCTATGCTACCTCACAATCACATGCGAAGACACAAGAAGTAACAAGCTAACATTGGCCTGGGGAAGCAGAAATGGGACCCTAATGAACACATAGTTATAAAAATATCAAGAAATGGTTAATGAAGCTCTGACCCAGGCAATGAAAAGAAGAAGAAAAAAAGACGAGCCAGGAGAGAGCACCACTGGCATCTTGGTATACACACACCTTTTATACCAAATGCCACGAGCGTGGCCAGGGGGATCCCTACGTGTCTGTGTATCTCCAACTGTGCCGGTTCCTCCCTGCAAGAAACATCTGAGAGGAAGAATGAATAGGAAAAGTATGTTTTCCGCCTTGAGTTATATATAAAGAGGGGGGGGGGGATAAATATAACCAGTGTTAGCAATAAGAGCGCTGTAACAAATGCGATTACGCTGCCCTTTCTCTGCTCCCCCCCTCCCTTTCCTACCTTGAACAGCACTGAAAATTTCACTTCCGTTTTTTGTGTGTAAACTCCGCCTGTGTGTGGTGTGTGTGTATATGCGAACACGGAAGCACGCGAACATATAAACGACCTTGATTTTTCTTACTTTTTTTTTTTTTTAAATCTACTATCGAGAACCTACCGCCGTCATTCCCATCCCAGGCTGAGCGACTCTCCCTTCCCCTTCTTCCAATCACAACGCCGACACTTTCTCGTCGGCGTCTCTCCTCCGTCCAATCAGCAGGCGCCCTTAGGCTCATCTTTCTTTCAGATCCCGCCCCCTGGTTACCGGAAGTGTGATGTGGCTCGTGGCGGCGCGTAACTATGGTAAGAGCGGCGTTCGGGGAAGAGGCCTGTCTCCTTTGGAAAGCAGGCTCTCTGGTTCCTTCGGCGGCGCGCGGGAGGCAGCGCGGCCGCCCCCGGGAATGGCCCGATAACGCGCGTGGAAGGTCGCTTGGCCCCTTTCCCAGTGTAGCTTCGTCGCCTTTGGCGTTGCGAGAGAGGCCTAGCTGACAGTGTCGTGAAAGGTGGTGTCTCAGAAAAGAGCATCACTTTTTACTCCTCCCCGCCGCCTTTGTGTAAACTACGGGTGGCGAAATCTTGGTTCGCCAAATAGCCGGGCTAGTTTGCGGCTCAAGAGTTTTGTGCGAATCTTACCTTTGCGATTCAGTGTGCAGTACCCTGCGGTTTAGTTAAAAGAGGATAAATGGGTTGTGTGGACACAGCCCCTGTATGTATATATTAAAGCCTTTGCTTACTGCCTATTTTACTTCTGTGCCTGCTGCTTTTATATTATTCAAAGAGGTGTAATACCTTTGTTTTATTTTTTCTTTTAAAAATTGCATTTGTAATCAGTATTAAAAGCACTTGGGGTCAATTGCACAGTTGTTGCAGTTAAATCAAAATTTCATTTTTTGATTTCATTATCTCTTGTCTCTGGTGACCTAACAAATATTTATTACATAGAATATGTAGAATAGAATATAGCTGGAAGGGACCTTGGAGGTCTTCTAGTCCAGCTCCCCCCTCCCCCCGCTCCCCTAAGCAGGAGAACCTATACCAGCGGTAGGCTGGGAGTTGAAGTCCATGAGTCATAAAAGAGCTGAGGTTGCCTACTCCTGACCTATACCATCTCAGACGAGTGACTGTCCAGTCTCTTCTTAAAAACCTCCAGTGATGGAGCACCCAAGATTTCTGAAGGCAAGCCGTTCCACTAGTTCCAAAGGTATTGATTAGAATATAGACTTATACACCAGTTCTATAGATGCAAGACAAAATATTTAGGTACCTTGTTTGCAGATCATTGTCTCTAAAACAGAGGTCCCCAACCTTTTGGACACCAGGGACTGATTCCGCGGAGAAAGGTTTTTCTGCGGACCGGAGAGTGCGTGGTTTTGTGTGCTGCCTGCATCCCATGGATGGGGCTTTGCTTGTTTGTGCGGACTGGTTGCTGGCATGCCGCAACCCGGTACTGGTCCATGGACCAGAGGTTGGCGACCTCTGCTCTAGAACACAAAGCGGAATCTACTATTTATCAAACTTATACTGTGCTGCAATCTGATGATTCTCAGCACTTTGTGGAATGTGCAATATGACAACAGTTAAAACATGGCTAATGTGATTTTTAAAAAATGACATAATACCACCACAGACAGAACAACAGACAGCAAAAACAAGAAGAAAATGTGGTGCAGTACTTGTTAAGAAGCCCTCCAAATAGTACATAGAATGTTAGAATCAATAACTTATTAATACATGTAAAACATATTTACATGGGGATAATTCTATTGCATTAAGTTGGGTGTCTTTCCATTTCTATTTAAAACAGCTTGTATTACCGTATTTTCTGGCGTATAAGACGACTTTCTAAACCCTGAAAATCTTCTCAAAAGACGGGGGTCGTCTTATACGCCCAGTCTTATACGCCGGAAAATACGGGTATTCTATTTTATTCCTTTATATAAGCTGAGGACGCGATGGGGCGGCGGCCGCGAGCCGCTGCCTCCCGTCCTGCTCCCCCTCCCTGGACGTGATGGGGGCGGCGGCCAGGAGCTGTTGCCTCCCGTCCTGCTCCCCCTCCCCACCTGTTCAGCTGAGGACGCGATGGGGGTGGCGGCCGGGAGCCGCTGCCTCCCGTCCTGCTCCCCCTCCCTCCCATTCGGCTGAGGACGCGGCGGCCAGGCTGGGGGCGGCGTGGACTCCCGACGATGCAGTGGCCGCTGCCGTGCCGCCGCCGCCGCCACCACTGAAGCCGCTGCCTCCCATCCTGCTCCCCCTCCCCACCCGTTCGGTGCCGTCTGCCTTTCATTCTCTCTCTCTCTCTCCTAACCTGGGGGGAGAGGGAGAGAGAGAAAGAGAGAAAGAGGAAAGAAAGAGAAGAGAAAGAGGAAAGAGAAAGAGAAGAGAGAGAGAGAAAGAGGAAAGAGAAAGACGAAAGAAAGAAGAGAAAGAGAAAGAGAGGAAAGAGGGAAGGAAAGAGAAGAGAAAGAGAAAGTTAGAGGAAAGAGAAAGACAGAGAAAGAGAGGAAAGAGAGAAAGAGAAGAGAGAGGAAAGAGAAAGAAAGAGAAGAGAGGAAAGAGAGAAAGAGGAAAGAGAAAGAGAGAAAGAGAAAGAAGAGAGAGGAAAGAGGAAAGAGAAAGAGAAAGATAAAGAGGGAGAGGGAGAGGAAAGAGAGAGGGGGAGAGGAAAGAGAAAAAGAGGAAAGGGAGAGAAGGAGAGGAAAGAGAGAGAGAAAGAGGAAAGAGAGAAAGGGGGAGAGGAAAGAGAAAATGAGGAAAGAAAAAAGATTAAGAAAAGAGAGGAAAGAGAGAAAGGAAAGAAGAGAAAGAGAGGAAAGAGAAAGATGAAAGAGAGAGAGACAGAAAGAGAGAGGAAAGAGAGAGAGAAAGTTAGAGGAAAGAGAAAGAGGAAAGAGAAAGAAAGAGAGAGGAAAGAGACAGAGAGGAAAGAGACAGAGAGAGAGAGAGAGACCCTTTTGACATCTAAAATGAAGATAACACTGCATATATCCTTTTTTACCTTTATTTTATATATACACACACAAACATACACACACACACACATACTGTATATCATAAAGGTAAAAAAGGATATATGCAGTGTTATCTTCATTTTAGATATCAAAAGGGTTTTGCGGCTCCCAGTGTTTTGTTTTCGGTGGGAAACGTGTCCAAGTGGCTCTTTGAGTGTTTTGCGTTGCCTACCCCTGATATAGCCCAAACTCTATATTTTAACTGGAAAAGTTGGGGGTCGTCTTATACGCCCAGTCGTCTTATACGCCGGAAAATATGGTATATATTTTATGATGCCTCCTTTTATTACACTTGGGGCAAAAAAATAGGGGACAGAAAGTGAAAGAATGGTGACAGGACAATTGTTTCAGTTATATTTAATTACAAATTTAATTGCAGTATGCTAGGCAGAACTTCATGGGAAATAATAGATATTGTGTACAAAGGTGCCTAAAGAAGAAAAAATACATGCAATCCTAAGCATATCAGGTGGCAAGAAAAATTGTCTTTGGAAGGATTGAGAATTGTTTAGCAGCATAGATTATAAGACCTACTTTTTTTAGATCTGATCTAGAAAAATTGCCTTTTTCATTTTTACACAAAGGCTATTTTATACATCATGGTAAATGAAGTGTTTCATTTAAATGAAGATATATTGAAGCTGCCAGAAAATCTGGTTCTTCACCCAGGCCTTTGGTGAAGATGACGGAAGCTTTGTTTGTTATTCTGCCATCTCTACTTCTTTTGATTTTATTCTCTTGTTTTTTTCTTTTAAATAATTTTGTATGACATTCTATTACCTCTGTACTGTTTCCCAGTTCAGAGTTGTTGGGAGTCAGGCAGAATATACATTTAATAAGTAATAATCCAAGTTGTCAAGTGGGGACTGCTCAGTTATCCCCACTTGATTTCTGCCAAATGAGAATAGTTAAAGAAACCTCGAAAGTTCCTCACTTAGTTTAATCATACAGTGTGAATTATGAATTCTAACTTGCTTACTTCAAACTAGTGTCTGAAGTCACATATTCAAATCCCTGCCTTTTGTGGGCATAAGATAGGAATCCCAATTTCCACATTGCATATTCACTATCAGAAATGGTATAGGGTCTCCTGCTTGAGCAGGGTGTTGGACTAGAAGACTTCCAAGATCCCTTCCAGCTCTGTTCTGATTGATTGATTGATTGATTGATTGATTGAAAAAAATAGAATCCATCATAAGAGCAGAAGAAGCTGCTACACCAAATGAGACCACCAAGTATCAGTGTTATTAATTGGCATCAATTCCACAAGGTTTAAGGCAGATATCAACTTGGCCTTTCTGAACCTAAACTAGATGTCAAGGATTACAACTGGGCCTTTCTGCACATAAAACATATCCTGAACTCTCCAGGTTTACATCTAAATTATATGTGGCTTAATTCACTCTGTACTGCTCTTTGAGATACTATTTTGGTGAAAGCAAAATCTGCCCTTTTCTCATAACTTTATGCAGTCATCTCTTATTAAGAGGACATAGTAGAGTATTTGTATCCCGGCTTTATTATTTTTACAAATAACTCAAGGATGTGAACATATCCAATACAGTACAACTTCTCCCTCCTATTTTCCTCACAACAACACCTTGTGAAATGGATTGGGTTGAGAGAGTGTGACTGGCCCAAGCTAGATTCATGCCTATGGTGGAAATCAGTGTTCCCTGATTTTTAGCTTGCTATATTCCAAGTTTTGCTTAAAAGCCAAAGTTTGTAATATCGGAACATGATACCCGACGAACATTTTGACTATTGAAACTAAGCTGAAGACTTTAATTTGCAAAGTAATTTATGAATGATCTGAAATTCTCAATAATTGCTTTGAAAAAGAAATTATCTAGTATTTCACTGTTCCTTGATAGAATGGGTATATTAGAATTATAATGCAAATAATAATAGGCTGTTAAATTTCTTATTTTTGTAATTATGGGAAGAAGTAAATGAATATAATAAAGAGAAATTTTAAAACTGATGGTAATTAATATATCACATTTTCTTTCAGTCTGCAATCTTCAATTTTCAGAGTCTTCTGACAGTAATCTTACTGCTTATATGTACATGTGCATACCTAAGATCTTTGGCTCCCAGATTACTGGATAACAATAAAACAGGGTATGTGCATTTCTAGAAATTTGGGGAAAGGATATGCATGTAAGCTTGTTTTTAATTTTACTATATTGATTTTGTTTTGAAATGGATTCATTGATACAAATCATTGTTAATCCTAAAATGCTTAATTACAGTAGAAATCATAATCACAGAACATTTTCATTTTCTTAAAATGGAGCCTGCCTTTCTAAGAAGTATGAGATTTCATTATTTAGAGCATTAGAGAAAAATTTTTTAAAGTTAATGTCATTCCCCCAGTGTTTTATATTGGTTTTTTATTATTATTTTATGGAGATTTTACAATTTTGTGGTTTTATTTGGCATTTTTATAACTGTAAATAGCTGAAACCTAGTTTGAAGCTAACAATGTACAAATCACGTAATAAATATATAAAATAACTTACAATTTAATATTTATTCAGTAAAACACTAATTAAGCTAAAATGCCCAATCTAAAAACACTTTCTAAATAAAACTTTCTTACATATCATTTTAAAATAGACAATAAAAGTAGTACATCCTTCCCAGGGTTTATTCTATATTTTTGACACCATGCCTTTTCTTTGAAACTCAAAGACTTTAAGAACGATTAACAGAAGCTAAATCGAATTTCCAAGCAACCTGATATGAAGCAAAACAAATTCTTTTATCCCAGGCCATTAGGCTTTAAAAGCCAAATAAAAAATTAGCCAAAATGTAATTTGATGTCTTTTTTTTACAATCTAAATATATTTTAGTA